GTGATCCGCAGGACATGGAGGTAGGCATGCAGAATCAAAAGCTTATGTCTCGGAAAGTGAGTTTTACAGAATCAGAACTATGTTTACTGGCTTCCATGCTGACTTGCAGAACCAGTGCAGCTCAGAGCAAACAAAATGTTAGCTGTAGAAAGTCATTTTGTGCAAGATGCCACTAATAGCAGTAATCTAAGGACAAAGAAGGAGATAGGAGAGGGTCAATGCTGGGCTGCAGGCTGCTGTTGTTTATTCTGTCTCCTTTCTCTCTTCCCCAGCAAATTTCACTTACAGGTTAAAAAAATAACGTTGAGTTGGCTGTTTTGGGGCTCTTAAACAATGAAGTGTCACTTGAACTGCTTTACATTATCACATATGACAGGAGTGTTGTGCTGCTGGGAGTTGTGGCTAATCCAACTTCCTGGCAGGAGGAAGTGAGCTAGCCAGAGCTGTTTATAGTGATGTCCCTGGGTTACCCGGGGGCCTGACAGCATTTGTAGTCTAGTCCCAGCTGCCCGCAGAACCTTTAGAGAACTGTTACCTCACACGTATGCATATCTTTTCACAAACTCTCTTCCCTCTGCTCCACAGGGCATGTGAGAGTTCTCACACAGAACTCTGTAGTTACTAAGGTTGGCCACCTTTGCAGCATGCAACCAATATTAATCTTGCTTTGGACAATGTTTCTGGGTTGCAGCATATTGCTAGAGATGTGAGTGGAGTCAGCTAACTCCTGGGGTGTGAAGAGGTGCCACCTGAATGGGTGAATGAGGCTGTGTTGTTCCAGGACCACCCCTGGCTGAGAGGCAGTACAACCATTTTGACTGAAGCCAATTCAAAGGAAAATAGCTCTGATGTCTCAGTGCCACAGTCTATAGGAAGGCTTATTAGTTCTGAAAAGTGTGAATGTATACAGCTATTCTGGGGCCACTACTGTACTCATTATGAAACAAATGCAACCTAGAGCCCTAGGGAGGGTAGTGTAAACCACACCCAAGCACTTTCCAGGATCTGTGTTAACTGTTCTCATCGCTCCAGGTGTCGTAGGCCTCTGTGAAGCTGGAAAACAGGGAGCTGAGATTAAAAGTCTTTGAAACTTTTTAACAGCCCTGACATGAATACTCTGATTCAAACTGGGGGAGGTTAGATCCTCATTTATTGGCCATTGGAATCAAAATTCTGGAGGAGGCGCTTACTTTCCTTAGTTATGTTGACCCTCAGCTCACTTGCTGTTACATGACCCAAAACCACCAAGCCTTTCAGCCCTGCTGGCTTCAGTGAGATTAAATATGTAAATGCTTTTTGGAACAGGCTGCAGAAATTTTAAGTTATTTTAATCTGTTACTGTGTCATGAAGAAAGATAGTAAGTTGCCTCCTACTCAGACAATACAAAAAAAAAACCACAGAAAAACCCACCCAAACCCTAGGCTAAATAGCTGATGTACAGAACACTATCATATGTTCAGAAGAGAAAATGGTGGGTTAATATTTGATATAATGTGGCTCTTTAACCACTACAGTAAGAAATTATTCTGAAATTTTTATTCCTAACCTGAAGCACCTCTCTCAGTGAGCGCACAAGAAGAAAAATGCCAGGCTTTGTTTTATGTCTGATTTCTATTAAAAGACATTAACTAAAAGTAAATGTTTTTCTGTGTCTTTAAAGGAAAGAAGGAATTCATGGATTTTACAAAGGAATTATCCCCAACGTGATCAGAGTGACTCCTGCCTGCAGTATTACCTTTGTCGTTTATGAGAATGTGTCTGGTTTTTTACTTGGTTTTAGAAAAGAAAATAATTAAATGTATGAGCTTGTGTTCATAAGGAATCTATCCTTTATTTTTTATATTTATGATCTTGGAGAGATTTAGTTCAGCAGTCTTCTCTGACGCTATGAATTGATCTAGTATTTTGAGGAAAGAACCTGGAGATAGTAAAACCCTGCCAACATCTCTTCTGCTGAGTGTTCCTCCATTGCTGCCTCCTCTCTGAATCAGCTGTGTCTGCTTGAAACAGATGTCTCTGCAACTGTGAAATAATAGCACTGTGACTGGGTGAAGGCAGCTGTGCAGCAATTCAGTTCATCCTGGCCTGCCTGGAATAACGGACTAATCTGTTTTGACAAGTCTCAAGGTAACAGTTGGTCAGATTCTGTTCCTACAGAAGTGGAAAACTTCATATAAAAGCAACTCTGGAGTCTGTCAAAACTTTCTTAAATCTTTATCTGAGTCTCATGAAGAAAGTTATGTATGTAGTTGTTTACAGCAATGTCTTCTGAATCCACCTCTGTGTTATTTGTCAGATTTTAGCATATGGAATGCTCCAAATTCCACTGCTCATCCAACACAAAAATGCTGCCTCAGTGGGGTGCAGTTTGGAAACTCAAATTGTTTTGTAAAACAGCTGTCTGTTCTTGGGTTTGAATAATTGCCAATCTGATGAAACCTAGTTCTTGTCTCATACCAGGACAGACATTGTGGTTTTGGCTTGCTTTTAGCACCAGACCAAAGTGTATGTTGTGTGCATCGCTGGCCACTTACTTAATGCTTTTTCTTTCTGTTCCCTGCCCGCTCGCTCTCTCTGAGCGAGATTCTGTCTCCATTACTGATACATCTGACCAAATATTACTAAGTAAATGCATTTTTGAAAGTAGGCTTACATTTTAAAAATGGGTGGGGGTGGGGGTCTAGTAATCCCATAATGATGCAGTTTTCAACGCACTGTAAGAACAAATATGACCATGCTTATTTTCAATAATATTCTCTGGGGAAAAAGAAACCAACCCATAAGTAGTCTAAAAAGTATTGTGCACAGGACTTCCTTTAAAAAAAACCAGAATGATCCATTAATGTCTTCTGATTTGGTCTAAGGACAGGACTGTAAGAATATATTGATTGCTAACTTAGTGATAAACTAAATTACAATACTTCTCAGTAAATTTGTATAGTAATGATGTTTATTTGCATGCCAATAATTGCTGTCAAGGATATGTACTTTTAGAGATCTGGGTTTGTTTTATTTTTTTAGTTCTTCTTTAAGAAAACACATTGCTGGCTATAACATCTGCCTTCTGCTGTTAGTAAGAAGGTATTAAGTATCTAGAAAGTATCACTTAACTAAGGAAGAAGTAAATTAGCAAAGATTATTCAACAGGTAGGGGGAAATAGTCAAGTTTTGTAAGGAGCTGAGAATACTATTCAGCAAAACACCTGAATAATCACTTAGAGAAGCTTCCTGTTTAACAGAAGACTAACCTAAAGCAGAAATAAGGGGTTTTTTAATAAAAATCTAACAGATTAGGGAATTGGCTTCAATTTTAAGTTAAAATCTAGAAGACTACAGAAACTGCTCGATATTTTGAATCTTAATTCAGCAATCCACTTGCTTGTTTCTGCTGATACTATTGTCACATACCACATTTTGTGTATACTTAAATTTATTAATGATTTACACTTTCTCCTCCCTGATCCCATCCCCTGTACTGATGCAGTTGATAATCTCATCTGAAAAGGGCATGTAGCCATTATGGCTGGCTTTGGTTTTTATTATGAAAGTTTCCATGTGTATTTAGCTGAAGATGAAATTTACTGGAAGTTTACCATACAGATTACTGCATAGATCCCTAACAGCTATTAACTTCTTCTGCCTTTGGAGGGTGTTTACTTGGTTTTGTGTGTTTTCTATGCACATTATGCAGAACGAATTTAATGGACCACTGAGTTAACTCTGCTACCCAAGGGTCCAAAAAATATTCTGAAGATGTATGAATAAATCTTAAGAATAAAAGTTGTGCACTTACTACCCTGGATTAGGGTGCTCTGGGCCCAGAACAGCTTGCTCATGCTCCAGGATAAATGCAAAGACAGGCTACAAGCATGTACACAATCAGTTACTGTATGTTAACTGACATTTTGTAAATTCACACCAGAGCTTAGCTCATAGTAACTTGTTTGTGTTCAGATACCTTAAAACCCATCGTCCAAGCCAATGAAAACAGTACACTTCTTCAGAGACAAAATACTAGCTGTATGATTTGCTGGCTTGCAGCAGTATCACACATAAGCTTGCATTTGGGAAACCCTGAATGCTCTCCTAGCTGCAGGTGAGTTCCTCTAGCATTCTTAACAAAAGCTGCAGATAAGAGCTACTACTTTGAGAAATGCCTGGGGAAAATCTTATAACCTGTTCAGAAGAAAAGGTGAGATTTAATCCTCAATAGCTGAAATTCCTTATCTCAGATAATGTTTTTTCAATTTCTGGGACAATTGTAGATTCCTGCATGTTGTACATGCTTTTTCCTGTTTGGTTTTTTTTTTTAATTTCATTAATGTAGAATTGATTTTTGTAATATAAACATGATTATTGTTTCCCTTTAGAATCTGTCCAATTTTTTAAAATATATGAGTATATCACTTGTTGCATTTGGAAGAAAATACTTAAAACACTGATGCTAATGCTGTGCTGGCATGATCAGTGTTGTCACTTGTCCGGTCTGGAGGCTGCAGTCGACTGTCACATCATTCTTTCACTTTACCAGTACACTTTTTGAAAGCCAAGGCATTTTCACCTGCCTTATTTCTATATCTTCCAAACTATTTAATATGTCTAGCTTTTAATTAACACCAAAGTCTTTGTATATATCTGAAAGGCTAAATCTAGTTGAGACCAATAATAGATGTTTATACTTAAATCCTGTCTCTCAAGAAGTGAAAGAGTTAAAGCAAAAGAGAGAGCTTAGATAGTCTATTTTTACTTAGTTATTCAGAACGAGGTATTTAGTTCTTACCACATCATCTAGGTCACATCATCAGTTAAGTCAGCAGGAACTTGTTGAGAGACTTTAGACTGCAACAGCAGAGCATCCTATTCTGTTAGTCAGGTTTACGGTAGTAGAATTTACATGTTTTCTGAAGGCTAAAGCCAAGACATGAGTTTACTTTCTTAGAACATTCTATGAAGTCTTCTAAAAAAATTAATTGGGTATCATAACACCATGTAAAATACCTTAAGTAGTTGGATGATCAATGAAATAGCCTGGATTTTTTTTTTTTTCTTAAAAGGTCTTATTTATTTGATACAAAAAGTAAAATGGTGGTGGTATATTTTCATACATCAAACAAGGAATTAAAAAAGTTAATGAACTTGGTTTTGATATATATACTCTAAAATGATTATTATAAAAAGCCTCTGCAATGTGCAAAAAAAGGCTACACAAAGACTACAGATGCAAGAGTTTGGTGCCTTTCAGTCAAATACTTGCATCCAACTCTATAGAAATAAATTCTGAAGAAAATTGTACAAAATAAAAAGGGAGCGATTATAAAAATGGAGGGAAAGTTATTTTGGCAGTTCTTCAATGATGATTCGGGAGACTGAATTCCATCCAGTAGAAGCATCTCCCCGTGGATAATCTGAGCAAGTCCCAACCCAGATGGCAATATCCACCAAGCCAGCATTGATCCCTTCACACAGACCTTCCACTGGTTAAAGACAAAAATCAGGTTACCTCAGCAGACACAATCACTTATTTCACAACTGAAGGTGGACACAAGTAGTTAAGAGCAGCAGTTCATTGTAAGCTCATGCTATTTAGTTAAACCTGACTAGCATTTTTAGAAATAAAAACTATTACTTAGACATGTGGCAACATAGTTTACGGAGTCATGCACTGCCTTGATCCATGTTGCTTCTTGACATCTGTTGCAGTACCTGAAGCAGATCACAATCCACGGTGTGGCTAAATGGGAGGTATACCTGCTTCTTTAAATGTCCACGTTTACAAACTGGTAGCTGGGATATGGCTTTGGTCCCATCCAGCCATCTTTTTAGCAGTGATGGGGAGGGGGGGCGGGGACACAGCCATACCTGGCTTCCACAGCTAAGCCCTGCAAAGGTGATTGTCACCTGGTCATCTTTTCCACTCCTAATTCACTGTATAAAGTTCCACTTCTGTTGCCCCCCCTTTTTTTTTCCCCACTAGCACCACTAGTTGGAGGTGGGTTAATGAAGACAGGTGGGTCCTACCCCTTGATAAAAAAACCCCCATCATAGCTGTAGAGGAAGTTGGAGAAAGAGTATGGACTTGATGTTAGTCTCCATTTCCTACTGTCACCTTCTTTTATGTTGAATGACTTCACTAATTTGCCTTTTGCTTAGCAGTTGAATAATTGTTCCTAGATACTTCACTTTAGAGGTACTTTTGTGCCCCACCTGGAATTACAGTAGAAATTCCAAGAGGAATAAGTCTCACTTTATGCACAGATAACGTGCAAATATCAATATTTTAAGCCAGGATGACACTGTCTACTTGGCAGTAAGGCAGTTTCTCCATATGCTAATACAGCACAGAATGTCTCTGTATTCACATTGTAGCAGGGCTCAGTAGAACTGTCTGGATAGAAATCTCTTCCATTTCTAAATTGCAGGATATAAGTACCATGAAAAATACCACAGTAATAAAGTACCACTTAATAAATAATTATGTTAGTATTGATAGTCAACTGTAAGACAGCAGCAGAGTAAGAGAACAAGTGTTAGTTAGCTGGCTGCTCTTCTGCCTCCTCTTTCAGTCTTTTGACTTTCTAAGGCAGACTGTACTCTCTGCATTTGGTAACTTGATTTGCTCCTGGCTTCTACTCCATCTCAGTTCATGCGGTCTCGGCATACATACCTGAAGAAGTTCGGTGTATATTAATAGTAGAATTCAGCTCTGGGCTTCCTTGATCTAAATATATTATGGCTTCAATAGGAAGTGGCCCAGCACATTCTGCTCCATTAAAAGTAAAGTACCAGCGCTGACAACAGGCATTTTTGCATTTTAGCCGAAGCGATCCACTGAAGAGAACGCGGAGAGCACTGTTCGAACGCATCTTTGTAAACGTACATTCCTAAGAGGAGACAAAAATGCTTTGGCAGCAACTTATGGTTTTGAACCTATTTATTTTCTATATATTTAGGAAATACATTTAGAAATATATTTATTTCAGAATGTTTTGGCTATTCTCTTTAGTTCCTTCCTTCTGAAAAAAAAAAAAGAAAAGAAAAAAGTAGACCCTGGCAAATACCATACAGTGCAAAGATGCAAATCAGAAACAGCACCTCATAGATGGTAATGAAGAAGGGGGATTATGGAAATTCTTAACTTTATTTAGATAATACCTATTGTTAAGTTGGTAACCTAGTTACCTTCTGGGGTTTACATAAAGGTGTATGAGCTGCCTGAAAGCTGCACTTAAGTCCTTGCATGAGAGGACAGTATAATTTCTGTCTCTGTTACCAGAAATCCTGGATTTAACAATGATTATTAGATTTGCAAGAGACTTAAACCCTGATAAAAGCTCCACAACTGAAAAAGAAACATTTTCTGGTTTTTAAGAGGTTGCTATTCTGTCTTCAAAATGCTGGATATCGGGGGTGGGGGCTGGGGGGGGAAGCTAGGGACAGTTCTGCAAGTAGAAGACAGTGAGAAATGTCTACTCAAAAAAGTTGATTCTCACTGTAGCCATAGCAATAGCAGTTAAATTACTCCAACCAATCTGGGCATTGCTTCATAGCTGGGATTGAGCTGGGATTTCTTCCCCTCTTCTAGGCTTGCACCATTGTATTTGAAAGTTTTACACCCGGGGCTGCTGTGGAGGACAGACTGGGTTAGTCTGGGTAACACTTGGTAATGCTGCTCCTAAGCAATGCTGATCTGCTTTGCAGTAGCATCCTGCAGCTGGGTTTCAGTGAACAACTGTTTTGAAGCAGGAGTTATAAAGACGGGCACAATTAACAGATTGAAGAGGTACATCTCTCCTGCTCCTTATGCTTGAAATGGTAAAAACCTTGCCCTGTTTTGGGCAAGCTGGAGGTACTTTTTTGGTAGTGTGACTTTCAGCCGCCTTCTAAATATACTCTTACACCAGCCACATCATTCTTTTGAAATACTATTACAGCAGTGAAGTGGGCCCATAGCTGTGAAACACAGCTGTGACGAATCCAAAGTAGCTAAACCTTGGAGAAGTTCACCCTTTTACATGTAGAAAAAGGCTCCGGTAAGAAATCTGTACGATTGGTGCTACGCAGCTCATAGAGCCTGCTGTGCGTGGTGAAGTGCAGCATCCTAGGCAAAGCTAACTTACTGCGATCTTCCCAAGATCGATGCCATAATTAAGTGCACTCCACGAACACTGCTTGAAGTTGGGCGTCCAGGACTCCTCGATGCTCTCGCGCATGCACTCGCCCTTCTCGCCCTTCAGCCCGTCCCGTCCTGGGATCCCAGGTGTCCCGGGGATCCCGTTGGCTCCCGGGTTTCCATCCCGTCCAGGAACGCCACTGGGGCCTTGCAAGCACACGCCGTTGTACTGAAACACAGAACAGATCTTGCTGCTTCCATCCATTAACTCTGAGGCTAATGAAGTTAAACACAAACAACAAGGACAACAAAACACAACCCCCCCTGCTGTGACAGAAGCTAATGGGCTATTTCTGGATCACCAAGACAATGGTTCCATAGAGGAAAAAAAAGGAAAAATAAACTTTAAAAGATAAGCAGTGCCAGCAGAATTTGCTGTAAATTAAGACACCAATTATTTTATGAAAAGATGCATAAATCCTAGAATTAAAAATTGGCCTAGTCCAAGGACTAAAACCTGTTGGAAAACCTCAGAAGATTCAAAACTTTCCAATACAGAAACAAAAAAGAGTTACATATGAATAGTTACTTTCTCCTAACCCACCATTGCTTGTATAACTGCCTCGGCTGATAAGCCTTCATTATTATTCTTTTTCCTTTTTTTTTAAGTAGAGAAACTTTTGCGTTTCTTAGGGAGCGGAGGTTAACACTGGTTTTCTTCTGTCGCCACTCCCCTGGGACAGAATCACGTTGCGATAGTCGAGCCGCGCAAGTCAGACTCCAGAGCGCGCACAGGACGTCGGCATTGATGTGGACATGGGAAGCTGCACCCTGGAATAATCCTCAACTCGGGATCCCTGTTCACAGCGGTGGGAAGGCGCACGTGGGACGACGGCACGCTAACGACCTCCCTAACATCACGATATTAGGAAAGGTTAAATGTTGCTCTCCCATACTGCATGTTAACACATGTTGCCTTCATACCTGATGAGATTTGGGGTTGCCCTCCTCGGCGAGTAGGTTTGTGCAGCCCTGAGCTCCTTCCCGCAGCAGCCCGAGCGCTGGATGCCGCGGGGAGCAGCCGGGTGTGGAGCTGGCCGAGCAGGCACAGAAACATTGAGCAGGAACCTGCAGGGGCTGGTGACGGCAGGGCTTTTTCTTTCAATGCTCTTTCCCATCTGGTGACTGACTGCTTCCTTCAGTCTTCATCCCAAATCCTCACAGATAACTATATTCCGCTCTTCCCCTTTCTCACACCTATTTCTCTTCATCCGTTTTAAACGATCGTGCAACTATTCCCCCTCCTGCAAGCCATGCCACTATCTGCACCGCAGGAGCTGTAAACTACAGCCCCTGCCCTCTCTCCTTTGTCAGACTGGTGAACTTTCTTCTTCTGGGGTTGTTCCTTTTCCTGTGCTTTGGTGCAAAAACCAGCATGAGCATCACAGGCTCAGCTGGAGCCTCTCTATAAATAAAATCAGTGACCATATGGAAGAGGTCTAGTAAGAAGTAGATGAGAGTTGGACTAATGGATGCTGGCATGCCCCTGCTACCTTCACCGAAGAAAACACCATTGGCCAATGGGAGTGGAAATAGTGGGATATTATAATCAAGAAGGCCACATTTAAAAAAGTTAGCTGGAGAGAAGGCTGCTTGGCCAAGCACACACCGACCTAGGGACCGTGAGAATAATGCAAAGACATTTCTATTTCACACAGCACTGGTTATCTGCTTTTGCTGCTATTTTTCCATTGGACTCACGGTTTGTAACAGTGACTGGCTCTGGTTTTACATGTGGTTACTCACCACAGAAATCCCGACAACCTGGAGATCGGTGAGAGCCGGGGGCAGGCCGAGGCTCAGGCCCGTCACTGCCCCATCCGCCGGGGGCACCAGTGGCACCGGGCAGCGGCACCCCGAGGCTGCCCCGAAAGAGGAGCTGCCACCGCTGCTGCCTAGAGCCGCACAGCTTCCTTCCAGAGAGAGCAGCTTAGCCGTTGCCCACCCAGTAAAAAATTGATGTGAGCAAAAGAATTACCTGGGCTTCAGGCTATGCTCCAACTAATTCGTCTACGCTTGCCAAATCAAGTTTTTTTCATGCTTTCTTAAGCTGGAAATGCACAGAGCATCTTTTAAAATGTCTGCTGAAGGCAGGCTCCCCTCCCAGGCATGCCTTCGTTCTGCCCTGGAAGGGCTCTAGCTGAAGCAGTCTGTACGACCGGGCTGCGCCTGACTCAGCTGCCATCGTTTTACCTGCGCTTTGCTGCTCACTCCGCTGCACCCAAAAGCATGGAGCAATGCAAGAGAAATGCGGGGGGACCCTAAAATACCGCTGCCACAGAAAACGTAAGCTCCTCCATGTGTGCAGACTCCTTATGCTCGATGCAATTCAACTTCCACAATAAAAGCGAGAGGGTCATGAGGCGGTGTGAAAGGGAAGGAGCTTTGCCGCCAGTGGTGCTTCCACTTTGGGGGACCTCTCTGGGGATCATGGAAGAAACGGCCATGCCACTGATTTTCTAGAGGAGGTGAACAGCAGTCAGCAGCTCACGGAAATAGTTTCACATCTGCTTTCTACATTCCAAGGACTGGAAAATCTCCCTCCTTCCTTCTATCCCTGAGATGGGATAGTCCCAATGCATTCGGGTTTCTAGTTGCAATGGAATTGCAAACAGCGGTATGCAGTCCCAGGTGCCAAAGGGAATAACGCATTAACGCCACTCCAAGGAAAGGTGGGTTCAGTAAGCGTGCAGATACAGTTTTCACGGCATCTAACGGCTGCTACAGCGCAGTCCTTTTATTTCTCTTTCTGTAGGTTATTCCTTACCCACTAGCCTCTCGGGAACGAAGCAGCAGTTCCTACCTCTGTTGCAAGGGTTGTAAGAGCTCAGCGTTGCCCCTGCCACCGGCAGCGGGATGGCGGGGAGCGGCTCACGGCGCAGCCCTTCGTCCCGCCGCCCTGCCTCCCCCCGGCCCCGCCGACCGCAGGGCGAGCGGAGACTACGCCGGCCCTAACCGCAACCCCCCCGCCCCCGGCTCCGACCCTACGGCGAAAGCACGAAGACGCGCACCCGGCCGCCGAAAACCAGCCGTTTCTGTCAAAGCCCGTCCGACCCTTTCTCAGCACTTTTCCTGATTCGGCGCAACCGAGGCGTAATTAAAAAAAGGGGAAAAAAAAAAAAAAAATCAGGAGGGAGCCCAGCCGGCGCATGGGAACGCGGCGGCGGGCCCGGCGGTGCCCTGCCCCGTTTTTCGACACCCCGCTGCTTTTTTCGCTTCTCCCCCCCCCATCTTTGCAACCAAAACGCAGCCGCGCGGCTCCTGCGGCCGCCCCCCCCGCCCCCGC